TGGGCCGCCTGCTTGTGTGAAGGCTGAAGACTTCCTCTGCTGGGCTGTTGGATGTGCTGCCATTGTGGAATGTTGAAGCTGCTGGGTGCACCCCTCTTTGCTGGGCCAGCTGGACGTGAGCTCTCTTTAGCTGGACCGTGGAATGTGCATCACTTTCCTTGTGCTTCCTTCAGGCTTGCTGGATGGGAGAGCTATGTGTGCGTGAAGTGCTTCTGGGTTGTGTCCAAGTGTGTGAGACTAGGATATAATTTAATCTCCACCTCCTCTTTGCTTTTTAGTTTAAACAAAATTGATGTCACATTTTCTTTTGACCTTCAAAATGTCCCAAATATTATCCAATAATTTTCCTACAATTAATAATGAAAATAATTAGCTCAAATAATTCAAATTAATTAAAATAAGAATTTTTGGTCAAATTAAGCACAATTAGCAAAAACGAAAAAATACCGGATATTTAAGCACAATTCCCTGATTAAATCTGGTACAATAAACTAAGTGAAATCAATAAAATATTGACTCATCAACATTCATAAACAAGTTATCATCACAAGACTTTTTAAGGTTTGTATTGAGGCCGGGCTAAGAATAAAATTGGTTTTTCTAGACAATAAAATCCTTGAGTTAAGAGAGTGCACAATTCATTTATTCTCTTTAAATCTCAACTTTTTTTCTTCTTTTATGTGAGAAACCAATATTCAACTCATTCCCAAACTTTACTTGCATTGAGCTTAACCTTTTCTTTTCTTTCTTTTCTTCTCTTTTGCTTTTTGCTTTTGCTTTTGCCCAATGCTTTTTAATGAATTTCACAAAGTTCTTTTTGGTTTCTCACCACCCCAAACTTGAACCATTCTCCAATACCACAAAAACATACTCTACTTAACTCAAGGTAAGGATTTCAAAAAGTGTTCACGGTGTTTTAATGCAGCCATATAGAAGTCGGTTCCCCCCACATCAAACGTCTATATGGCTGTAGAAGTCTGATTGGCGGGATCTGATCTCTAAATGGAGTCAAAAAGTGACTTTTTAGAGTTCAAAAATTAGTGTATAGAAGTCTGTTCCCCCACATCAGACGTCTAAATGGAGTTAAAAAGTAACTTTCTAAATTTAAAAAAATGAGTATATAGAAGTCGATTCCCCCACATCGAACGTCTATATGGCTGTAGATGTCAGATTGACGGGATCTGATCTCTAAATAGAGTCAAAAAGTGACTTTTTAGAGTTCAAAAATGAGTGTATAGAAGTCTGTTCCCCCACATCAGACGTATATATGGCTTTAGACGTCTGTTGTCTGTTCCCTCTAGAACAGACGTCTATATGGCTGTAGAAGTCGGATTGGCGGGATCTGATCTCTAAATAGAGTCAAAAAGTGACTTTTTAGAGTTCAAAAATGAGTGTATAGAAGTCTGTTCCCCCACATCAGACGTATATATGGCTTTAGACGTCTGTTGTCTGTTCCCTCTAGAACAGACGTCTATATGGTTGTTTTATTTACGAAAAATGTCACCGATCATTTTTTACGTTGGATATTCGAGGGTCGGACGTCTAAAGGGTGACATTAAATGCCTTTTCTACACTGAGGGGTCTTGTAATCGATTATCAGTGGTCTAGGAGGAAATTGTACATAAAGTTCAATGTCACTTCCTAAATGGGACAACTACACTGCTCAAGAAGGTTTTGCTAGTGTTTTTTGGGCCATTAACCTAGCGGCTTACCATCTCCTTCAACAATATACAAGATATTATTGGTCTAACCATGTCCAGACACCATTTGAAGGGAGTGGTCTAGATGCACCTACGAAGTGTCTCTTGTAGTATATCATTCCTTTCCACAATATGGGATAAGTCGACCCATGTTTGCAGATGCCACTTTACAAAATCATCAAAACATTATCAACTTCAAAATAACAATCATTATTCAATAACAACACTCAAAAGTAAAATCACTCAATTTGTACTTACATTGTTATGAGATTCTTCCATTAATGTATCAGAACAATAACAATACGTCAGTAAAGACTCAAATCAAAACTTTCAGCAATGCAATCAAATTCACCTACAATAACATGTACAATAAATTCATCACCAATAGAAAACAGAGCACACAACATGCACATATCATCTAACAACTGCTTACAAAACTCATACATCAACAACAACATTATCACTAACACAATGCATAACCCATGACTTAATGGTTCTACCAACCTCGATATTGTGAAAAACCCATTTTCTCACCCCAAACCTTCGAGAAAGGAGAGATTTATACTAGTTGATAGAGATCGCGAGAGAGGCGGAAAGACAGAATGCTACAAGACTGGTGGAGCAACATTAGGGAAGGTCACCTTCAAGGTCACAATGGACACAAAGTAGAGGCAAATCGCGAGAGGGAGAGAGAAGGGGAAAATGGCGCCACACAAATGAAAAGAGAGAGAGGAAGAAAGGGCAAAATTTCGACAGAGAAGAGCGAAAACGCTAATGGGTCCAAGTTTGCCAGTACCAAAAGTCGAGAAGCAACAAAAAAGACAAGAACGAGAAAGATAGACGAGGGAGAGAGAGTGAACTCTCTCATGATAATGGGAAGATGAAGAAGATGCACATAGAGATTTTTTCAAATGAAACTCTTTTTTGCTTCCCAAAATGTCGTCCACATAACATTATTGTTTTTTATTGTTTTAAAAAAACATTTCAAACGAACTAATCCAAACCCATCCGCTAACGTTGTCAAAATGTTGGCAAAAATTAGTTGTTAAAAAATATTTTCGTATTGTATGTAATATAGAGAATGTTGTTGAAATCTTATTTCAATTACATCAATGATGAATTTTACAACATCAATCATAAAAGTTCATTTTTTTCAGACACAGAATCAAGTAGTGGTATTGAATACTTTGTTCTAGAAGAAAATTGAATGACTCACTAATATGTATATCATATATCAGTAGCCTACCACTACTGTTTAACTGGTCAAAAGTCAACAGCATATGACATGTCCATACATATTTTATCTTTTATTAAGAATAATTTAAAATGGAAAGCCACCTACCCCAGCAACTTCCTGGTTCCTGAACCCAAAACTCACCACACTCAATTTATATCTTCATTCCCTTCTTCTCTTACCATTTTATTTTATCATACATTGAAGAAAAGGAAAAAGAAAATCCCAATCTTATGGAGGGTCTTCTGCCTCTGGTTTTCAAAGCAATCAAGAGAAACAAAACTCGAAGTCAATATGAGTGTCTCTCATCAGGATCTGCTCTCAACTACAACATCAGCATGGCTGAGATGTACCCTCAAACACAGGATCAAATCCTTCGGAATCAGACACCAACCAACAAAGTGTTTCACCGTCATCATGAAGATCTTCACAAATATGCTCACCGCCGACATAACTCTGTTGGACATTTCGGTAACGGTTTCCAATCCACCCAGATGAGAACAGGTGTTGTTTCCACCCCTTCAAACAAACTCGTCAGGTTTAGGAGTCAGAGAATGTTTTCATGTATTACTGGTGTTTGAGGTTGTTTTCTGCACAATGTTTTCATGCATTAATTCAGACCGTGTTGTGAATCCAAATTGTATTACTTAGATTTCACTTTGCAAATTGATTTCATAGAATCGAGGTGGGTGAAAATCTGAAGTACAAGTTGTGTACATGGAAAGAGATTTTCTATATATGTTTTTCTTTGGGTATCAAGATTCTTTGGTTCATCCATGAATGAGTCTTTGAAGATCTTTGCTTTGTCTAGGGGAATGAATTGTAAGTTTAATTTTTTAAATATATGTTTTTGGAGTTTATGAAAAAAGAAATATTACTATTTGTTTTATATGATAATTAAATGAATGGCAGATATCTCTACGCGGAAAAACTTGCTGGCATTCATTGCCTTCGTTTATTGGTGAGAAGTGAAATAGTTGGAACTTAGATAGCTGTGGGGTCAGGTTCTCTGAACTTTTCAAACATTAAAAATAACATTAAATTCTAAAATGAAAGAGAAGGAAAGATGTTTATATATTGGATGTTTGAAATTCAATTTCTAATCTACAAACTTACATTTTCTAACTTTTATGATTGCCGAATTAAGATTAAGACTTTCTTCTTTTGAATAGATTTAATAGATTTGATAGAGAGTGATTAAATAAATTTGAAAGGATTTGAAGGTAAATTTTTGGTTTATTTGAGTGGATTTGAAGGTAAGTGAGAGTGGATTGGAAGTAAAGTTTGTAACAGTTAGTGTAAGATTTGATGGATATGACACATTAAAAAAATTTATTTCTAAATCCACTCTCACTCACTTCCAAACAACAAAAATTTTACCTTCAAATCATCTCAAATTCATTCAATCACTCTTTCTCACTCTTTCTCAAATTCATTCAACTAAACAAAATATAAAAGAAGAACTATTTGTACATAGAAAAAGTTCATATATATATATATATATATATATATATAAAATAATTAAAGAGAAAGTTGGACTTGTAGAGTTTAGTGATAATAAGCTCTAGGAATGTTTTAGGTAAAAATATTAGGACAAGGAAATAGATGTTTAATATATATATATATATATATAAGATTTTTTCCTTTTTTTTTATAAAATATATAAATAATAAATTTAAATAAAAATTATATTATATAATGGATACTGAATTAATGAATTCACCACCAAAATCCAATACTCATTAAAAGTTTGATAGGCTGGATGTGAACAAATCACTCAAAATACATATATCCAAAAGTGTGAATTGAATTGAATTGGAAGATCTAAGTTCATAAATATCTATTTATTAAATGTTCTTAGATATATTTTTTTGTCCATTTAAGTGAGATTCGAAATAACGATAAAACAATCTCTTTTTATTTTTATGTGTAATTTTAGTCTTTTTCTTTCAATTTTCATTTCTATATTTAAGAAAATCTTCAAATTTTATTATTTTTTAGTTTATATACATTTTTTATTTTGATATTTTACTTAATTAATTTTTTTTGTGGCAGCTGAAATGAATAAGTTAAATTATAATTTAATGAATCCAAAATAAAAATAAATAAATACATTGCAACATATCTTATAAAATTGGACTAAATTACGATTTTTCTGAAATAATAAATTAAAATCATAAAAAGAAGGACTCGTGACGAACACACTTCTCTTGTAATTTTAAAGTGCTTTTCGGATTAAACATTTATCAATACCACGTGTGTAAAAGAAGCACTTTAAAAAGAAGGATTAAAAATTTGTTTATCAAGTTTTTGGCGCCATTGCCAAGGACTCATGGTATAACTATTCTATTTGTGTGATTCTTAACCGATTAGACTTTATCTTTTCTTTTTATCTTTTTATTTTTTTTTATCTTTTTATTTTTTTATCTTTTTATCTTTTTATTTTTTTTATCTTTTTATCTTTTTCTCTTTTTTTATCTTTTTATCTTTTTCTCTTTTATCTTTTTCTCCTTTTATCTTTTCATCCTTTTATCTTTTCATCTTTTTATCTTTTCATGTTTTCATCTTTTTATCTTTCTATCTTTCTATCTTTCTATCCTTTTATCTTTTTATCTTTCTATCTCTTCATTTTTTTTCTTTTTAATTTTTTTATCTTTTTATCTTTCTATCTTTCTATCTTTTTATCTTTTGACCTTTTTATCTTTCTATCTCTTTATCTTTTTATCTTTTTAATTGTTTATCTGTTTGTGCTAATTGGGTGCTCTAGTGGAGTGTTCTTTAGTTTTTGGAGGATAGAATTCAAAAATTTGTACTAGGAGCACAAGATCATCAAGAGAAGAAGGAGAAAGAAGGTCGCAAGGCGCGCTTGGGCGCCCCATTAAGGGCGTTGAGTGCCATCCTTCAAGTGTCATGTTCACCAAGTTCTGTGCATGAAGTGGTTAAAAATATCAAAGAGAATGGAGTTATTGAGATTGAGGCTCCTTATTCAAGGAGGGTAAAGATGGTGAACAAGAAGATGTTGTAGATAAGTTGGTGTGATGAAAGCAAAAGGAACACCAACATCATAGATGCAGATTGTTCTTAATGGTGTCAGGCTCGTGACGTTAAACAAGCGCTTATTGGGAGGCAACCCAATTTCTGACTTTTTCTTTTTGATTTGAATTTGTTTTGCAGGAATTACAACATCTACTGATGGATGTTGTTATGATAAGGATGATGATTGATAGCATCTACTGATGGATGCTATGTGATTAAGCATCTACTGATGGATATTACTAAAGGCGTCTACTGATGGATGCCGATGAAGATGAGAAATATTAGCATCTACTAATGGATGCTAATGACAAGGATTCGCATCTAATGATGGATGCTGGAAGATTCAGATGAGAGCATCTACTGATGGATGCTACTAAGAGCACCTACTGATGGATGCTATGCTACTAGACATCTACTGATGGATGTTACTGACAACATCTATTGATGGATGTTGCTGGATCAGGATTTTTATGTTTTTGCTTTATTTTATTTGAATTTTTTTTATTTTTATTTTTGCTTATGTACTTGGTTTAATGAGTTGTGTGCAATGGTTTGGTATTATGTGATAAACTGTTGTTTGTGATGAGTAATATTCTTGTGTTTGCTCTGTTGTTTTGTGATGCATGTTGAGTTAACGATTGTTAAGGCTTTGTAAGCATAGATGGTGGTGGCTCATAGTATTGTTAAAAATAGATGCATGATTTCAATTGTGATTAATATGATGGGCATGATGTTTATCAAATTGTGGAACTTGAGTTAACCTGTGAGAGATTAGGCTCCAGAGTTTTTGATTGATTGAGTGTTATTGCTTTGGAAGCATGATTGATTTTGCCTAATTTTCTATGATTGAACCACTTGCTTGCTTGTTACGATCAAGGCCATTTTTTCTTCTCCCTTAGAGCCAATGCAAATAGGTGAACCCAACAAAGAATAATTTTTCTCTAACCTTTGCACCTTGAGCCTAAATTTGAAAAGTGGAAAAACCCTTTTTCAAATCCTTACCTAGAGTTAAGTAGAGTATGTTTTTGTGGTAATGGAGAATGGTTCAAGTTTGGGGTGGTGAGAAACCGGAAATAACTTTGTGTAATTTATCAAAGAGCATTGAGCAAAAGCAAAAAGCAAAAGAAAAAGAAAAGAGAAGAAAAGAAAGAAAAGAAAAGGTTGAGCTCAATGAAAGGAAAGTTGGGAATAAGTTGAAGATTTGGTTTCTCACATAAAAGGAGAAAGAGAGTTAATTGTTAATGTGAACAAAAGAATTGTGCACTATTTTAACTCAAGGAATTTTGTTGTCTAGAAAAACCAATTTTCTTCATAGCCCAACTTCAATACAAGCCTTGAAAAGTCTTTGTGATGATTACTTCCTTTTGAGTGTGTTTGATATGTGGTTAAATGAAAGGCAAAGTTGATTCATGTGGCATTGTGATGGTAGAGTGTAACAGTGATACCTCACTATACACCTTTGAGTTTGAGTGAAACAATTTTGACTGTTTGAGTGAAACACTTTTGAGTGCTTGAGTGAAACATTGTCTTTGGTGAGGAATTGTTCCATGCATTTTATGATAACATTCTTGCTTGGTTGTTGATTATTCATGAGGTTTGCATCTATTGTGTATTTCTTGGTTATGTGAGCACCATAGTTGAAGATTGATTGGCTAAATCATCATTATATATTGACTAATGTTTCTATGATGAGCATCCATGAGCGATTTACTTGTCCTAAGAGAAAAATGCTTTTTGGTGTGCTAGACCTTTGTAGTATGAGTATTTTGTTTTAGCCAAGTTATATTTTGCTTGAGGACAAGCAAAGTTTCAAGTTTGGGATTGTGATAACGGTTGAAAAACTGTTATTTTTATACTTATTTTTTATATTAAAAACACCATTTTTGACTTAGAAGCTTGCTTGAACTCATATTTTTGCTTTAGTTTTGTGAATAAGAGAGTTGAAGATGAATTTAATGGTTTTGTGCTAGATTCCCTTGATTTTGTAGGCTATTGGAATGATTTGAAAGAAGAGTTAAAGTACCGAATGGTTGAAATGCAGAAAAGTCAACCAGAATGCAGAAAAGTCAACAAGAGTGTAGAAAATTCAACCAGAATCCAGAAAAGTCAACCAGTCAACCAGATTGCTGAAAAGTCAACAAGAGTGTAGAAAAAGTTGCGTTGAGCGGCAGAGTTTATTAAAATTTATAGAACATACACCCAAGCCCAATTAAATGATGCTCAGCGGCACTTTTGGCGCTCAACGGTAAGTGCGGTTCTTCAGAATGATGCTCAGCTGCACTTTTGGCCCTCAACGTTGACTACGGTGCTTCAGAATGCCGCTCAGTGGTAAAAGTTGTGTTGAGTGGTGAATGCAACTCTTCTTTTGTGCACTTTTACTTCCTTTTCTGAGTCCAGCTCCTTACTACTTCAACTTCTTTCATCTAATTCATCTTAATTCTTGCCAAAACAAGGAAAACCAAGCATAAAACCCATCCAACTCTCTTATTTCCAAAACTTAAGCAAAAGCATGATTTCAAGCTAGTTTCTAAGTCATAAAGGTTATTTTAATATCAAAATTAAGTATAAAAATAACGGTTTTTCAACCATTATCACAACCCCAAACTTAGAACTTTGCTTGTCCTCAAGCAAACAAGATGTAACTCAGTCTTCCACCAATCCATACAATGGTTCACCACATTCAAAAACTCTTTCTTTCCAAAACAAGTAATTACTCAAATCCACTCATCAAAAAGAATTCAGTCAAGATGCATACATGCTTTAATTCAATCAAACTCATTGTGGTGTTCACATAGTCACAAAGTATCCAACAAATGCTATTCTCATGAATGATCAATCAACTAAGCATAGATGAAATTATGTGGTCATGGAATCTTTCCTGACTAGATAAAGTGT